CTTATTTTCACATTTCCAACACTTATTAGAACATTTCGGGTCAATTTTAGCTAACCTTTCAGTTGTTACATACCATCTATAAAACATTTTTATATACATTTTCTTTATACGGAATAGCTTTCGTAATCCTAATATTTTTCTTCCATATTTGATCCCACTGCTCTAATTTAACAGTATGCCCAATATTCTGCCCCCATTGAATCATATTCCCTTTTACTATTTCATCCACCATTAAATCATCAAGTAACAACACATAAAGTCTTCGTAAAAGCTTCTGATCCATAGATGTCAATCTTTTCAATCTCTATAAGGTTTTTATAAAATCCGATTCTCTTGTCTTTAGTAAATCTGGATTCTATTTGCGCTCTTTGCCACCATGGTAGGTCTTTTAATGGTTTCAAACTATCTTCGGAGTCCAATATATCCAAATACCTTCTTGGTAATTCTTCCTGGTATGCAGTTGGGAGTGTAATGGCTTCTAGTGGAACAGTCAATTTTGAGATTTTTATATAAAAATGCTTATGTATGTTTCCCCATACTTTCATTAAAGATGCCCGTATCCAGTGCTGCTTGAAATATTTATGGACACACTTTCCCATACCATAAGAATGCATGCCACCCTAATTGAAGGTCGTGGCCTTCCAGTTTCAGTATTCTCTTATCTTCCAGTGTGACCCAATCTTTAATCCATGTTAATGCAGCTGCTTTATAATAAAGGTTCCAGTTAGGTAGGCCAAAGCCCCCCCTTTCTTTAGTATCTTGAAGAGCTTTCAGTCTTATTCTTGCCAAATAAATTTTGATAACGCTTGCTCCAGTTCCTTGAAGATATTTTGGTTTTGAAGAATGGGAATTGTTTGGAATAAAAATAGCCATTTTGGAAATAAATTTTAGAGGGTAGCCTTAATTACCAACTGTGAAAGTTGTTGCAGCATTGGGGACTTTGAAGAGGTATCCAGTTTATACCACTGCTTTGAAGTCCATAAGCCCATGTAAGGTCCCGTTCACACGCAGAAGTAGCCATGCGATACGCACGAATGATGGGCAGATTTTCCAGGCGCAAGCATCCCGCACCCGTCGCCAACCCATTTCGCTCCGCCGAAGACGTGGAGTAAAAGAATACCGGGGAAAGGGCAGTAGCAAACAGGTTTGTGATGGGCCGCAGATGGCCTTTCTCGTGTGATCGCTCTGGCGCGCTCCCATTGTGTCACTGATCCCTTGGAGCGCATCCGGAAACATGCGGCAGAGGAAAAACCCAATTCACTCACCGCTGCGTCTGATCATGCTGTGGCGGGTCAAATTGATACGGCACAAAATGCTTCGCTTCTCCCCCCGCGTTATCTGGCACGTGTGACCACACCCTAAAATAGGTTATAGGTGTGGGAGAAGGAGGTATTCTGGATGTGACAGATCTGGGGAGTGGAAAGGACTTCCCAGGGAGACCATAAATCATCCATTCTTTTCCTCTGCCCTGTTTTTTTCCAGCTCCTCTCAGATTTATTTGCACATCCCATATTGAGGGTCCCCTTCCCTTCTACTGGTGGTGGGATTATTGTGGACAAGTAGTTTCAAGCAAACACACTCTCAATAAAGACAAAAGGAAATCAGACTGTGAGCTCAGACATATATTATCCTTTTCATCTGAGGCTACTGCTGCACTTGAGGGAATTTTGCCTTCCCCACCACCATTAGCACCACCACAATCTCTCCATCCTCGCATCACTTTAGTGTGCCTTAAAACTTACATTTCAGCTCTGCCCTGTAACTACAAAAGGTTCCACCACAGATGCTATCATAAATACTTGGCCTAGAAGTACTTTGACAACATTTCAGCTGCCTACCTGTCAGAAATCTTGTCAGATCTAGTTGGGAAATATTTTTAAACCTCTTTAAGACTTCCGTACATTTTTTAAAAAATTGCTTAAAGAGTTTTATTTATTTATTGGGTTTCTATCCCGCCCTCCCTGCGAACGGGCTCAGGGCGGCTTACATTTAAAGGCTTTATTTACATTTAGGTTTATGTGGAACAAAGTTGGTTAGAGCTGCATTTAGAGTTGCCAGGTCTTACCTGCGTCCTGGCAGGGGGCTCCACCCCCGAAGAGCCCCCTTGTGCCCCCTTGCGCCTGATGTGCCCTGCGCGATGACGTCACCTGGAAGTGACATCATTGCGCCAGGCACATCGTTCTGGGGACCTTCTAGCAGTTAGGTAAAAAACTGTATGGTCACCATAGAGTTTTTACCCAAATGCTAGAGCTTTCCCCCACATGACGTGCCCATTGCGATGATGTCACCTTCAGGGGGATGGCAACCCTAGCTGCATTTGGCTATGATATTCCTCCAAAATGTAATACTTGGCTGTCAGGATTCATTCTGATCCTTACTATAGCAGTAGAGGTTGTGGACTAGTAGATGTACTAGTTCTTATAAATTGGGCAAAATATGGAAGAAATGGTCTGGGAAATATTCTCAGTACCTTACCAACAATAAGTTGTCCGTAGTTCTGTGATCTTGAGCATTCATTCTAAATCTAAGTCATGTGGAAATGTGTAGAGTTTTTAGATTGTGGTTGGAGGTAAAGAACAGATTTACAAGACTATCATATCACAGAAAAGCAAGCATAGTTAATTTGAATGCTTAAAGGAAAGGGGGGGGTGTCAACCATCTCATTCCCTCTCTTTAATAGTTCTTCATTACGAGCTCTCCTTCCCTATTTCCCCAAATCAATAACAAACCTAACAAAAAAGAGGCCTTCAGGTGTCACAGTAAACTCAAGTTTGGAGTAATGTCTGAATGCATCCTGCTCAATAAACTTGTTTGTTGGAAGCTAAGCCTGGGAATCTAAATTATAGTTGACTTGTTTAACTGGCTTGTCATTAAATCGGAACTTCAAAAATCAGTGTCAGTAACATTAATTACCTTCCATATATAATGATCTCCCATACATAAGCACAAAGAACTTACTATACCAGGTGTATTCAGCTATCTAAGATACTATCTCAGTGTACTCCCACACTGCATGGCCTTGCCCCTGCTAGTGATGACTCACCAAACAGGACTGTGCTTTAGGATTCAGCCTCCCCTGCAGAGGAAACATAAAAAGCAGTAGGACAAAAGATCTGATTTAATTACATGCTTATTTAGTTTGCCAACATACGCAATAGAAATTGCTCCACAGTGTCTACACAAAACAGTTATCTTACCATCTACAGCAGGGGTGTCGAACTCATTTGTTATGAGGGCTGGATCTGAAATAAATGAGACCTTGTTGGGCCGGGCCATGTGTATCATAAAATGTAATGCCAGGTAGCAGAGATATAAACTTTATAAAGGACACAGACAAACACAATTAACTTTGACATTGTTTTCTTACTGAGAAAGACTGGATCATGAGGGAATGAACACAGTAAAAAGGGGGAAGGAACCCAGTTGTATCCAGGAGAGCCCTGGCATAAGGAGCCCAAAAAACACACACAGCATAAGCAGCCCAATAGAATACAAACACACTTTAGCAAGGCACAAAAAAGCTCATACCTTGAACAAAACTTTGTTGGTCTTAAAGGTGCCTGATAGTTTTGCCATGCGATTGAGGCAGTCCAGCAAAGCAAGCTCTCATCTGTTCCCTGCCTCCCTTTGATAAGGAGCCTCCCTTCGAGAAGGAGCCTCAGTGGAAGGAAAGAAAGACTTCCCTTTGTCTCCTGAATACGATTGAGGCAGCCTGGTCAGGAAGCAAACTCTGGCTGGTTCTCTCCCTCCCCCTGGGAGGAGGAGGGGGAGGAGCCTCGGCCAGTGCTTTACCAGACTCTCTCAATCGCACAGGAAAGGCTTGCCTATCTATCTCTCCTGTGTGATTGAGAGAGTCTGGTAAAGTAAGTTGTGATGTAGCAGCAGCAGCAGAACTGGAAAAGGAAGCAGGAAACAGCCAGGGCCTTGAGGGCCAGATTGCAGCCCTCTGAGGGCCTGATCCGGCCCCCAGGCTGCATGTTTGACATCTCTGATCTACAGGTATTTCTTTATATTTTGAGGAATTCCCTTTGCCTTTTTTTGGGGGGGAGTGTGTTTGTGTGGAGCTGTGACCACATGTTTCTTTCCAAAGCTTTTATTTTCTATTTGAAAGAGAGTAAAGATAGGAAATGTGGTCAAAGGGCAAAAGAGAAAGGAGAATGGGTAGAGGTTGCAAAAAGATCTTTTTGTTTCAAAGACGAAAATAGTATTTCAGTAAAGCTTCTAGACAGACAGAATGTGGGAGACTGAGTGTTCTTAGGCAAGAGTGTGGAGGAGGGTTGCCCTAGTATTCTGTTCCACTGGGTTTCCCTGCTGTTTATTGCAAATGACCAATAGCAAGTGGGCTGTTAATGTAGTAAGACTTTGCCAGGGGGTGAGCAGGAGATTATTTGGGATTTATGAACAAGCTGGTCTGTTTGGTAACAAACCAGGGTGTATGGTAACAAACCAGGGTGTGTGCACTGTAACAGTGGTTTACACAAATTGCAGTTTGTGATGTCAGAATGCAAAGAAACTCTTGCTCTTTCAAATGCATGCTATTGCTGACATACCAGGTTAACACCTGTTGTCTTGGAGAGCATCTAAACCCCAACAAGGTATAGTGAAAGGCTGAGAGAACTTATCGCTTCCTTAGAAAACTGCATTCCAGAACTTGAATAATTCTGCCAACTTTTTAGTGAAGTTATGTGAAACAATTTCTCAGTAGTATTTGAAACGAGCAATTGTAAAATTGCGAAGTTTAATGTCTAATCTTTTGAAAGAGTATAATACTGCTATGTATTATGCTGTTCTTATGAAGAAACAGTGGTGTATGACAAGCAGTTATGTACTGCATTTAGTGGTTTTATAAAATCCAGAGATAAAAAAGGGATACAAATTGTGTGTAATATATGTTGATGTTTGAGAGATTCGTGCTTTCCTGCAAATGGACTAAAGAAATTTGTGTTCATTTAATGAAATGCTGATAATAGTAAAGGAAACATTTCACTTTTGTTTTGCAGTGTAATGTTCAGGTTCAGAAATGCCTTATGTGGATCGTCAAAATCGCATTTGTGGTTTTCTAGATATTGAAGAAAATGAGAATAGTGGGAAGTTTCTGCGGAGATATTTTATACTGGACACAAAAGAAGACAGCCTGGTATGGTACATGGATAATCCGCAGGTAAGACACATTTGGGGATAATAAAAGTTAAGTTCTTGCTAACTAAAGTGGCTTTGAGGGTGAAATTTAATTAGAGAACATTTTGTCTTTTTGACTTACATGTTCTGCAAGAATCACAATACAAGATGATAATTTATTTTTAGTCGTTCCAATAGTTATCATTTGAAACTTGGATTGCTTAGCCTAGCCCATAAATATATATTTATTCGGAGTTCTATATTAAAATTGGTAGCTCCCATCCAAGAGATAAATGCAGTCTGCTTTGAGTCTCAATAAGAAAAGTGAACTATGGCTCCGGTCACACGGGCAGGAAACTGCAGGGGGGGAGCGTGGCTGTTTGCCCCGGGGCAAACTAACGTGCGGTTAAGCGATCAGACCTCCTGTGGAGGTTCTGTGGAGGTTCTGTGGGTAGGGAGAGGTGCTGATCACAAGACACGCCTGCGCGCAACGAAGAAGCGCGCGGTGCGGCAAACTGGTTTTCTTTTTTTGTGTACACGACGAATGCACATGCTCCATTGGGTGCGTGTGCGCATCCACAGGGACTTGGGGGGAAAAACACCTTTTTCGCAAGGGGACATGGGCGGACGCTGGATGCCACCGGAAACGCGATCAGATGCCCGCCCTTGCCCCGCGGTTTCCAGAAACTAGTACCTCCGAGGTACTAGTTTTTTGCTCCGTGTTTTCGGCAAGAAGCCTTGGTTGTGCCACGGAAGCGCTACGCTTCCCAGATGTGCCGGTGAGATCGCGCCCGGAAAATCCGCCTGTCTTCCATCTCTCTTGCGTGGCTAATGTTCTGTGTGACCGCAGCCTATAAATAATAAATGAAGGATTGGATTAATGGCATAGAACTTGGCAAAAAATAATTTTGGTGAGGTGGGGACTTTGGCTCACTAACCCCAGTTCCCTTTTCAAAATGACCCTCTTGATAACCACTTACTCATGAGTCATACAAAGCAGCCAGTTTTTTGGGACGTGATCTAGGTTTTATTCACTCCTCTTACTACCAATCATGACCTACAAAGGAAGTTTTAAAAATAGTTTTCTGTGTTAGTTCAGTATTGGGAACTATTATGGTGGAAATAAAGGAAGAAAACTTAATTGCTTCTGGGGGTTTGGCACATTTGGTTTTAGAGATGGTTTTACCCCCCCCCCCCAAAAAAAAAAGACTGTAAAATGCAATAGCTTTCCCCCAAATGAATAAAACAGAAAGTGTGAGCACTGAACAGCCAAACTTAATTTTGCAAAAATTCTGTTAAAGGATGTAAGATAGATACAAAAATGTTACAAAGCTGTTCTGTATTTAACTGTTTTTTGCGTTTTTGCAAATGTAAAGTGTATCTCAAGATTTTTAATTGACAGTTTTCACTTTATATTATACTGCTATGTTCTTGAATTCAGAACCTTCCCTCTGGATCGCCACCCGTTGGAGCCATTAAGCTTACCTACATTTCAAAGGTACGTGTGTGTTTCTTGGATGGCAAACAGCATTTCAGAATTTACAGTAGGGTTTTTAATAGTATTTTGAGTAGTCTAAAGAAATTTGAAGCTGGGTGCTATCATTTAACACTGTTCTTGAGGAACATTTCTTTGTAGTTTTTGCTTCTGAAACTGAGAAAGGTTCAGGAACACTACAGAGCTGGGATTTTGAAATTACTGCACCACTGTGCACCACTGTGTATACAAGAACAATTCTGTTTTGTACAAACATTCATTTAATCTAACATGTCCCGTGTAAGTTCTTCTGATGAAAGCTTTGTTTAATCAGTAAAACAGTAACTAGTATGTATAGAGAAATACTTATTATGCCCTTGTATGAGACCCTTACATAGGGAAATTTCATGGAAACTAGTCCAAATCACATGAAGTATATATAGAGTATATATAGAGAAAAACATACGTTCCATTTATCTTATGTTCCATTTCCCTGTCAGTATCTTTAAATTGCAAGAGTCTTCAGTGAAGTAATTTATGGCTGATAGTTTTTAAAACTAAGTAAAATGCCAAAGTACCGTATTTTTTGGACCATAAGACGCACTTTTTCTTCCAAAAAAAGTGAGAGGAAAAGTGTGTGCGTCTTATGGACCGGATACTGAGCCCCAGGGTTCAGAATATTTTTTTCCCTGTTTTCCTCCTTTCACACTTGCTGTTTTATTTGTTCCGTAATAGTCTGGACTTTTTTGGAAATCTAAATCTTTTTGTTTGGATTAGTAAAGAACTTTTCTGAACATTATTCTTAAAGGCTGCATTTAGATACTGCAAATAACCCATGGTTACTTTGTGATATGAACAAGCCTCTCATGCTGTATCTCTGTCATGAGGTGCAATTAAAGACTTCTTGGGTTATGTCACCTTTAGTCTGATTTTTTGTGATACCTGAATTTGAATGCCTGAACTTGACTCTCTGTGGCTCTTACCTCCTCATTATGGCCTTAGGGTACAGCCCCTGCCTATGGCTCTTAGCCTGCTGGGTGCTCAAGGTCCTGCCCATCAGGACATTACAACTTATCTCATCACATGCAGTTTCAGGCTTCAGTCATTGATTCTCCCTGTAGAGGATCCTGTTAAATGTAGGAAGGCCCTGGATGACTTCACACTTTTCATGAACTGCTTTCAGTCTCATGGAGTGCCCAGGAAGGCATCATAGAATCATAGAGTTGGAAGGGACCTCCAGGGTCACCTAGTCCAACCCCCTGCACAATGCAGGAAATCCACAACTACCTCCCCCCCATCCCCACTGACTCCTGCTGCATGCCCAGAAGATGGCAAAAACCCCTCTAGGATCCCTGGGCAAGGTGGCCTGGAGAAAATTGCTTCCATTAGTGTGAGCTAGCTCACAGTTTTTTAAGTCTCCAGCTCACAGATTTCTGTCTTAGCTCAGGAAGGATGACTCCAGAGCAAACTAATTTATGCAGTAGCCAAATCACTTGCTTACAACTTTATGGCCAGTAACTGACAAAGTAGAATTTTTGCTCACAAGACTCCACAGTTTAGAGGGAGCATTGTTTGTGACCCCAAAGTGGTGATCAGCATTTCCCTGGGCATGTAAGAAAGGGCCACGAGAACTAAGCACTGATGCAACCCTTCTTGCCCTCCTTCTCATGATCTGCCTAAGTTCACAGAATCACAGCATCCGTTTCCTCCTATTGCCATTCATCCTGAGCCAGACATTTGGAACTTTGGGGAGGGGGGCTCCAGCAGCCAGGCAGCTTTTGGTTCTGTCTTCCAGGTCTCCTAAACTCCACTTCGCACCATCATCATGAATCACTCCAGAGTACTCCTGAAACTTGATGTGATCTTGTCAGCATGTTGGTCAGCCACTATCATAAAGACAACATGCCCAGAACAAATCTCTGGAAGGATGGTTGCTTCAAACTCCACATCATACTTAGCAAACTGGGGTTTCTGTCTTTCCCATAGTTTAATCTCAATTAATGGGAAAGAAACACAAACCAGTGTTTTGTTCAGGTGCCAAGATTTGGGTGTTGGAACAAATTGGTGTTCTTAGAGAGGAAGTCTTCATTGTGGCTTTACATTTGAGAGGAGGACTGGAACATGTAAGCCTGAGGGTTTGAGATTTTGTTTGCAAACAGTGTTGTGCTTGTTTCTGACATCTAGTGGAGCCAGAGTGAAAATGCAGAATTGGAAGTGATCAATTCTGATGCTGTTTTCAAAGATACAGAAGTGGGAGAGCTAATTTTCGTTCTACAGTTCCTGTTACTTTTTTGGTGCCATGTTGAAATGGATATCTAACATTATTCGTGTTCCATGTCACTGTAGAGCAATGCTACCTCTAAGCTGTGGAGTCTTGTCAGCAAAAATTCTACTTTATGTGCTCCTGGCATTAAAGTTGTGAGTGAGCGATTTGGCTACTGCATAAATTAGTTTGCTCGGGAGCCATCCTTCCTGAGCTAAGAAAAAAATGTGTGAGCTGGAGGCTAAAAAACTGTGAGCTAGCTCACACTAACTCAGCTTAAAAGGGAACACTGCTTAAAATGTAACTTTTTTCTATTTTCCCAATTAGCAAAAACTAAGAGGAGTACCAACTTAAACATTTCTGGAAATTTTCTTTCTCTTATGCCAGCCCTGTGTAGCAGTGATTACCTAATCTACTACTAGTGTTTACACAAATCTCTGTTGTAAAATAATATATGCAGTTATTCTAAACAAACAAATTATACTGAAGACAGTCTTTATGCTTTACTATATCAGGGCCATAATGTATGTTTTATAGGGGATCTGCCTGTTAAAATGCATTAACTTTTGTTATGTCCTTTTAGGTTAGTGATGCAACTAAGCTGAGGCCAAAGGCAGAATTCTGCTTCGGTAAGTTTTTAGTGTTTGCACAGTAACTATATCACTGTTTTTTAAAACTGTATCCAGGATATGTTTCACACTTTCCTAATTAGGCACAAATGGACATATCTGTTTAGAATATAAGTTTGTTTATATTTCGCATTTCCTTCCTAATATAAAGATGAAATATTTGGCACTGGCTTGAAAAACAGTGATCTTCAAACAAGATGTGACATCAGCCATTGGAATATTTTAGAAACTCTGAGTAGCTGGTCATTTTAATAACACACACACACTTTAACATAGTAATTTTCAGTGCTGTCTGTTACAGAGTGAGAGAGATTCTGAGCTTCTATATTCTCTTTGAAAAATCACTGCTGCTCTTCTCCAGATAATTATCTATAGCAAAGAGCAACTTGGCAAGCATTTTAATAAGCAGTAATCACTGTATATTAAAAATGCATGCCAAATTGTTCGTTGCAGTATGCTTTTCTGAATTGGATTGATATTTCGGGGGGGAAACAACATGTAGATCCTGCTATATTTCTTCTTGAAAACATGAACATTATTAATTATGCTGCTGTTGGACATGGATGCTGTAATTCATATAGATAGCATCCATATCCAACAGTACCATAATTAATAATGCCCTTGTTTTCAAGAATTTTAAGCTATAATTGATGAAGGGTGTGTGTGAGCATGCAAATACTGTATCAGTTGATGGTTTTACACAGAATATAATATCCTGCCGATACTGAATATGCAAGCATTTGATCAGGTTTCATTTTTAAATATTGGATTTATGAATATGCTGTGACACTAGATTTAAGTATAAAGGCCCACTACACTTGATCTTAGCCAAAAGGCCGAGAAGCCCAGGTGGGAAACTTTATGTGACCTTCATGGACCTGAAGACCGCTTTCGACTCAATTAAGCGCGGTAGGCTATGGTGTAAATTGGCAGATTCTACAATAGATAGAAGACTATTAGCTCTAATTATGAATCTATACACCGACACTTCCGCCCAAATTAGATACAATTGGCAGGGTCAGCTCACAGCTAGCTTCCAAACCAACAAGGGTGTGAAACAAGGCTGCTTGGTTGCTCCGTCCTTATTTAATCTATTTGTTAATGATATGATTCCATTTGTGAAATCGCAGGCTAGACATCCCCCTTTTCTCGCAAACACACCAATTTCAATCCTTCTTTACGCAGACGATGCCATCCTTCTCTCTAAAACAGAACTAGGTCTAAAATCAGTAATTAATGCATTTATTACACATTGCAATAAAGAGGACCTTAAAGTTAATTACTCCAAGTCAAAGATCCTTAGGTTCTCTAGAACCTTTCATAATGGACCTAAGGTGATAAGCGCACTGGGCGGAACCTTGGAGAGAGTCCCCTCCTTCAACTACCTGGGTATCAGTTTTAACTACAACTTATCATGGAAACCACATATTCAGGCGGCCCTCAAAGCTGCAAATATCACAATTAAGGCGATTAAAAAATTATTTTATTCCAAGGGAGTTTTCAAACTGTTTGTGAAGAAGGGTGCCCAGGGTGGTAGCACGAATAAAGTGGGTTTCTCACATTTAATCCCCTGCGACACCTACCGGTACAAGAGCAGTCGATCAAAGTTAATTACACAGAAATTAACAACCTTGGGGATTGATATAACAGCTTCATTGTTAAACGAGTCGCTCAGAGAAATTAAATCAAAACTAAAGGATCTTGACTTCAGCAGTACCCTCCAAAGAGCTCGATGTACTTGCTCTGGTCTATCCTTGGGTCTTGCCCCCCCTGAGGCTATTCCGTCATATTGCTACACTTTAAAGATCCCAAGACAACGCAGAGCGTTCACCTTGGCGAGACTTAACTCCTTCCCCTCTAAGGTGCTCTCTGGTCGTTTCTTGGGACTTCCGTTTTCGGAACGTGTTTGCGATTGTGGACAAGAGATGATAGAAACTATAGATCATATAATGCTTTTTTGTCCTAAGTGGAATAAGGAAAGAGAGAGATACATCATTCCCGTTATGAGAAAAGAAAAGCTTCCCCTCCTTCCTTGGGTAGTTTCAGTGCTATTGTTTGATAACTTCCCTGACAATCAAACCACGGCTATAGTGGCTTCCTTTCTAGCTGCGGTGATTAAGAAAACAAATCTCCCTGAGTTTAACTAGTTTACTGCTGATAACTGTCGACCTTTTAAGTGTGTGTTGTTGTTGTTTTTTTTAATTTATTTTATTTTACCCTGTAAAGTTGCTATGGCTTTTTTGCTAATGCAATAAATATTATTATTATTACTAATTATAAAGGCCCATTGTTGCACTAGCACAATTTGCAAAGTAGTTCAACTTCTGTTTGATATTGTAGTTAAAATAATGTAGAGGTATGTAGACTGCTGAAGTTCCAAAGCCTTGTTTGGCTATGGAATAACCTGTGAATGTTTGTGCTTTTGGGATGTTTGATGTATTGGTGAATGGTTCCCTACAGAGGAATTGAAAAATGTGTTATGATTACAGAAATTATTTATATTTATGTGTCCTTGAAACCACTTTCCTCAAAGTAAGTTAAAAAGGTAAAGGTTCCCTTGCTCGAAAGCCAGTCGAATCCGACTCTAGGGTTGCGGTGCTCATCTCCGTTTCAAAGCCGAAGAGCCAGCGCTGTCCGAAGACGTTTCCGTGGTCATGTGGCCGGCATGACTAAAAACCAAGGCGCACGGAACGCTGTTACCTTCCCACCGAAGTGGTCCCTATTTATCTACTTGCAATTTCTTGCTTTCGAACTGCTAGGTTGGCAGGAGCTGGAACAAGAGACAGGAGCTCACCCTGTCTTGCGGCACCCGGGTCTTGAACCGCTGAACTACTGACCTTCCATAGCCTGCAGTTCAGCGTTTTAACCACTTGAGCCACCAAATTGGCCTTGTACTTTGAGTAGATCAAGAATCTTGATTTTTATGAAAGAGGTAGAAAAATGTAGTGTTTTTGCTAGGCCATGACTGTACTTGAACTATGTTCAACACAGCATCAAAGAACCACCAACTGGTGGTTCTTTCAGTGTATTTCATATCTGTTTTGAGGGCACCTACAGACAACTGTTTATCATGTGGTCACTGCTTGTAGTCTTATAGCAAGGCTCCTACAGTTGCGACTGTGTGGCTACAAGTAGTGTGTGGCTACAAGCGGATCAGTTTTCATGTCAGAGTTTGCTGAGATTTGTGATCAGTTAGAGAAGCACAATAAAAACCATTACTCCATGTATCATTGCGCTACTTAAACCAGCCTCATATATGTTGCTTGTATCATCGTGCTATTGAAACCAGTTGCACTTACTTTGCTTGTAATAGATGGCAACCACATGGCACAAAGTTGTCTATAGCCACTCTAGAAGAAGACAGACTCTAATGTACATCTACTTAGTACAGTTTTTGTGACCAGATTGTTTGAACTCTTGCTTTTCTTCTGCTATACACAGGATGTATATAGTGCTGGCTAAATAAATCCACATGATTACAGAAAGTAGTTGCCCACAGACACATTCGACAAAAGCAAAAAAAAATTGCTTTACTTGTTCATGTCAGTTATAGGCACACCTTTTTGCTTGCTTGTGTTCTCTTTGTGTTGCTACAGGGTTCAAGCACTGATTAAGTGTAATTCAGCTACTGTATTGCTACTGCTGTGAATTATAAATAGCAGTTGTTAAAAGTGTCTATAAACTAGGACAAAGAACTTCATGTTTCTAGAACAGAATAAGGGCATTATTTCTGAATTCTTCATCCAGTGGGTGGGTAAATTTCATATTTACAGCAAAGCTGCTTTAAAAAAAATAATGCAGGCATTTGGGTTAGTACTAGCTTGGGAAATCGGAAAAGTGATACTCCATGTTCTACCCCACCCCACATTTTTCACACTACAACTGGCCCATGCATATATGCAGTCCTTCCTTAGAACTGTAAAACCGAGAGAGAACATTTATGCTCTCTGCATCATGCTTATGCTTGTGACTTTTGAGATGAGAACAAATGTTGAAAGCAGTATATATTGATGAATAGCTATTTCCTAGTTAAAGAAGAGTGTAACCATATTTTAGTTAATGCTGCGCATTATTTCTTTTACTGTCTTTACCAGTCATGAATGCAGGGATGAGAAAATACTTTCTACAAGCCAATGATCAACAAGACTTAGTTGAATGGGTAAATGTCCTAAACAAAGCTACCAAAATTACAGTAAGTAATTTTTTTAAAAATGCTATGGTCATTCTACACAAACATTTGGAGAAATATTTTTACTTGAGCAAAGTTTGAGTCCAGTGCCACCTTTAAGACCAACAAAGTTTTATTCTGGTATAAGCTTTCGTGTGTATGCACACTTCTTCAGATAAATTGAAATAGAAGTTACCAACCATTACGTATAGGTAGAGGGTGGAGAGGGTGTTGCCAGGAAAGGCTGTTTAGAGTCCAATTGAGGTTTTTAAATGGGTAGAGTTACATTTTAGAAAGGTATGGGCTTGGAACTGACAGAATATTTCCGTCTATATACAACATGCCTGACATGAGGACTAATCTGGGGAATCGCAGGAGGGGAAAGGTGAAGAAGTGATGCTCCACAGATGGAAATCCCATTCATCCATGGGAATTACCAGTGGCTTCAAGCCTATATGTTACAATAACAATTTCAAATTCCTTTGGTGCCCTTGTTGTAACCTGTTTATGCTCAGGCATATCATGCTGGGCTTTGGATCATGCAGAAGTTGTATAAAAGACTTGTGCTGCTTCTGCCTGCCCTGAAGCTTAGGGTTATGATTAGGGTTTTTTGGGGTTCGGGTATATTGAACCCCAAAAATATTGGTATTTCCTGATATTCCTGAATCCCAATACTGGTATGGTATTCGATTTCAGTAAATATTCGGGATTGCCGATTTCCCCCCGGCTCCATGTGGACCATTGTAGTCAATGGTATAATGGAGAATTGATATGTGGCTCTGTGGGGGCTGTTTTTATAGGTAGAGGCATCACATTTTTGCAACATATCTGCTAGTGCTTCTCTTCAAACCCGCCCCCCCCTGCAAGTTTCAAAAAGATTGGACCAGTGGTCCAGTTCTGTGGGCCCCAGAAGAAGGTGCCCCCATCCTCAATTGCTTCCAGTGGAGGGGGGAAGGCATTTAAAGGGAACGCAGTCCCTTTAAATCCCTTTTGGAAACCACAGTTGAACTCCAAAGGTATTTAAAGGGCTTGTGGTCCCTTTAAATGCCTTCTCCAAGTTGCAGCTTCATCTGGAAGGTGTTTAAAGGAACTGTAATCCCCTCAAACACACTTTAACACCAGCTATCCGGTGGCCCCAAAAATCCTGAATATTTTTGGGATTTTTCGGGCTCGGCCATATCAGATAGCTGGATAAATACCCTGGCTGATATCTGGCTAAAAAAATACCCCCAAAATACCGGTAAGGTATTTTTCCGTGTTTTTTTTTTTTTTGGCTTGGATAAATCGAATGTACACCACTAGTTATGATGTGCTCTCTCTCCAAGTCATTCACAGAGGACTGAGAGGAGGGCAGAAGAGGGAGTCAGTGGTGGCTACAAATTATTGCTAGTTTCTAAGCCAAGCTATAATGCATGGGAGTTCTGAACTTGAAAATGGGGAATTCATGTTTTATGTAACAGACTTCTAAATGAAAGGAGGTTTAGTTGCTACAAGAAGCACTAATGGTTCTGCTTCTACCTTTGGGGTGCTTCTGCTGTATTATCTAATATGTATTATTTTGCTTGCAATATAAGGCCATAATAAAAAAGGAGAAAGGGGATTCTTTAGAAATAGATTGGTGCAAGACTGGGGAGGTATGAATTGTGAAAAGTGTTGTCTGGCCACTAAGCCTCTTCTATATCCTTTCTTTGGGTCACAGTTTAACAAATACTGCCTTTAAAAAATGTTCATGTTGATTAAGAAATATAACCTGATTGAAAGGCGGGCATGTCTAGGATATTCTGTATACGGGGAGGGCGGGGTATAAATGGAGGGTGGGATATAAATGGAATGAAATAAATAAATATACATCAGATATGGCCCTTGAAATTCAATTTTTACAGTTTGTGATTTAATCAGCAGTGCAAATACATTTTGGTTGGTAAATAAATTTTGGTTGGTGGTTATCCAGTTACTGTGATTGACCCCTGCGGGACCAGTTCTTTTTAGACTCTGGTTATTATAAGCAGGAGAGGGAGGTGTGAAACTTCCATGGGTGGTGCTCTCCTCATGGCATTTTAGATCCAACAGAAGGAGAATGGCTGAAAAGTACTTGAGCTTTGTCTTAGAACTTCGCTTGTTTGAACAAGGAGGGCTAGATTTCAGTTCAGGAATCCTTGAAGAATGAATTAATATTAGCAACTTGTACTTTGGCATCAAATTGGAAATTAATTTACTACATTGCATCCATTTGCTTTGACCAGTAAGGCCTTCTAGCTTGCTGGCAGATATCTTGATCTCGATGCACACACGCAGTCTTGACACCACAGAGCTAGATCATTTTAGGCTTGTTCATTATGCAAAGTGTCAGGAAACTAGCTCCCTGTGTGCTGTGTGGAGGAATTGATGAACGTGATATATAATTGTGCTTTTCTTGATAATCTGAACTAATGGGGAAATGATACAGCTGCAAATTAAATGTGAGCTGTATTATACGGCTTTAAGAGCTCAAAACAGTATTCTAATAACAGCCTTGTAAAAATAAAATTTAACTTCTAGAAATTCAAAAGTGTAAAATATATAATAAATGTTTGGTTCGGTTTTCTTTATGCTAAATCTTTTTCAAAAGGGACTTTGCAAAAAATGAGAGGACTAATTAAAAAGAAGCTGAGACGTTCAGTTGAGAGGGACAGGTTGTTTTGGGAAATTTGGAGATTATTTATAAGGTATAAAAGAAACAAAGTTTGAATCCAGTGGCACCTCTAAGACCAACAAAGTTTTATTCTGGATATAAGAAGTGTGCATGCACACGAAAGCTTATACGCAGAATAAAACTTTGCTGGTCTTAAAGGTGCCACTGAACTCAGACTTTGTTCTGCTGCTTCAGACCAACACGACTACCTACCTGAAGCTACGAAAGGCACAGAGAGAATGTTATCATATTCAACAGAATTCAGGAGATATGGAACTGAAGACTTCTTTCTTTAAAAAAATGGAGGTTTTGTCTGTACTTTGAAAATGGGTGCAAACCAAATGTAAAGCTGTAATGAAACTAGTTAAGTAGTAGTATAAAGAGCAGGTTGTAGAAGTTACTCGCTCTCATGGTGTTCTAAATATCTCAGAAATCGTTTACCTACTAGAGTGTCACTTCGGGCATTGGAGGCAAATAAGGAAGCTGCATTAAGTGCTTCATAAATACTGACAGATGAAATGAATGGATTCTTCATTAGTCTTGAAATCACAATATGATGGAGAAAAACCTACTCCTGAATTTATTTTTTTTACAGAACCTCAGTTCTTAGAGATAAAGGGATGAAATAACAAATCTTTAAGGCTAGAGTTTATTTGTAAGTTCCGTAATTCAGATGAGAAATTGATAAAGTTTTGGGTAAAATATGTAACTTATTAAAAGGAGCCTGCTTGCCAGAGTGTTGCAACTAATGTAATACAAGGGTATTCTTTTAAAAAGTTCTAGACAATTCAGGATAACAGTGATACATTGAACTTCTTTTCTTAGTGAATTAGTGGGATGTGCTAGGCTAGAATTATTAAGTATATAGAAGTGTGTGTGTGAAAACTCATGCAGCTTTTGCAGAGGAAAGTCTTGCCTCTGTAACCCTTTTGACAAAAATCCTCAAAGAATTCTGATTTTATCAGCTGTAGGGTATAACAGTTTTTTAAACCTTTTGGCTTATTTATAGGTGTACAAAGGATTTTTATTGGATTACTTTTGAGCCACTCAGAATTAGAAAATACAGTTCTGTAATTTGAATTCATTTTACTTCCTCCCATGCTTACAAAGGCATTATACTGTCGCTGTATACTATTTCATTGCAACATATACTTTTTCAGGTACCAAAGCAGGCTGATTCACTGTCTCAGAATGATAATTCAAATCGCCAAGCTGAAAGTGTGGGGATAAAGAAGCAGATGTCTTACAGAACAGATATTGTTGGTGGTGTTCCTATAATAACCCCTACCCAGGTAATGCAGCTTTAATGTCTTGCCTTGTCATTGGAGGGACTAAGGACAGAATGCTACCCCTTCAGTTGATGTAATTCTTGTAACATGAAATCAGGGCCAGTTCCAGAGTTTTGTAGGCCCTGGGCAAGAGAGTGTAACTGGGTACCCTTTCCCACTTTAAGTCCCTGTTGGGAAGAAAGATAGTGTACAAATGAAGTAAATAAAAAAATATGTCAAAATAACCCTGAGAAGTAGGTTAGAAAAAGCTATAGTGGCTTTGTTAAATTTACATAGTGAGTCTAGGTTAAGGCTGAGTGATGGATTTTTAAAACCCAGTCTCAAAGGTTGAGACTAAGTGCCGGGGACGGCAAAGGATGAGATGGTTAGACAGTGTCATCGATGCAACGAACATGAAATTGAGTCAACTTCAGAGGACGGCGGAATACAGGAGGGCCTGGCGGGAGCTGGTCCATGGGGTCGCGAAGAGTCGGACTCGACTGTGCGACTGAACAACAACTCAAAGGTTGATATCGAACACTATCATCAGGTGGTTCTCACTAAACACTTTTCTGTTTCAGCAAAGCATATCCTGTAGGTAAACCACTGCAAAGGCTGAGAATTACTGTGATTGCATGGTGTTTTGTTCACACTTAGCTTGTAAAAATTAGATCTCATGGGTCATGCTAGCTCATTTAAAAAACCCTTAAAACAGAAGCAACCCCCCCCCCCAATTTATTACGGGTAAAAGTCATGTCTAGATTTTGAATTTTATTTTTAAAAATAATTTCTTCATGATTAGATCTGCAATTTAAAATTACCTCGGAATATATTCCCAGTTTTTGGTAATCCTAATAAGTACAGTTTGTAAGAAAATCTCAGTGTTTTTGTGTACGAATCTTGGCGCTTCACCAAGTAGCACTGAGACATCTCAGCTCTGTCAGCTTTTCACTATCAAAGGTATAGGCAGAGGCAGGGCCGGCCTGAGCGTTTTTAGCGCCCAAGGCAGGGCTACCTTCTGGCACGCCCCCGCGCACCAATTATGGGGTTACCAACCTCCAGGCGGGGCCTGGAGAGACCGAAGACCTTCTCCTCCTCGGGACCGCCCACTTGGCTGCCTGCCCTGCACCTCCAGGCGGGTGAGGCCGTGCGCTCCAAGCTGCAAACCCCTGGCTTGGTGTGCAGGCGCCCGCACGGGCCTCTCCTGGCTTCTCCCTTTAGTGTGGAGGGGGGGAGAGAAGCGGGGCAGCGCGGGGGGGTCGTGTGCGAATTGCAGCGCCACCCAAAACCAGCGACCATCCTTGTGTGTGGGGGGCCTCCCTCTGGCAGGCGACCAGGCAGCGCTGCGCAGGAGAACCTAGCCTGCCTCCCCAGCCATCCTTTTGCCGCCACCACCTCCTCCCCCCACTGTCGCCGCCATTGAAGTGGGGGGGGAGGGGGGAGACATGCCTCAGCTCAGGAAGGATGTGGCTCCAGAGTAAACTAATTCATGCAGCAGCCAAATCGCCCGCTCAGAACTTTAATGCCAGCAGCTCCCAAAGTAGGATTTTTGCTCACAAGATGCCACAGCTTCAAGGGAGCCTTGGTCCCAGGGGCCAAGAGCATGCACAGAGCGCCTCTGGCTTACCATCGCTGCCACAGCCCGTCCCTAGAAAGGCAGCAGCCGTGGGGGGGGGAGCTCAGCCCCGGAAGGGGGTGGCGCTGTCTGTCTTTTCTCCCAGACGGACACCCAAAGTGACTTACAATCAATGCTCCCTCTAAGCTGTGGAGCCCTGTGAGCAAAAATTCCACTTTGTGAGCTACTGGCATTAAAGTGGTGAGCGAGCGATTTGGTTGCTGCATAAATTAGTTTGCTCTGGAGCCATCCTTGCTGAGCTAAGACAAAAATGTGTGAGCCAGAGGCTAAAAAACTGTGAGCTAGCTCACACTAACTCAGCTTAGAGGGAACACTGCTTACAATGTTCTCTGCTTTTCCAATAACCCTGTGAGATAGGTTAGGGTGAGATTGTGTGATTGGCCCAAGGTCACCCAGCAAGCTTCTGTGGCATACAGTCTACAATTAAAGCAACATCCTAAGTCCCAAACCTTAATGAAAGTTATAATACAAAATAATGCCAAACCATATAAAATAGTTTTTTTCTTAATTACTTCACAAACTTCAGAACTACCTTTACACGATTTTGATTTTATTGTGCTCTAGAAAGAAGATGTAAACGATGGTGAGGGTGATAAAAACTACTTGAAACAGTCTCAAAACCATCCTTACTATTCTGCTAAGCATCCCCCAGATAATGCTGTGATCAAAGCTGGCTATTGTGTTAAACAAGGAGCAGTGGTAAGTAATTATATATATTTTTTAATTAATGAGATCTATGTTCTGTATTACGCCCTGACCTGAATAGGCCAGCCTCGCCTGATCTCATCAGATCTCGGAAGCTGAGCAGGGCTGGCCCTACTTAGTATTTGGATGGAAGACCACCAAGGAATACCAGAATTACTACACAGATAATGGCAAACCACCTCGGAATGTCTCTTGCCTTGAAAATCCTACAGAGTTGCCGTAAGTCGGCTGCAACTAGATGGCACTTTCCGTCACGTGCTACAGCCAAATCTTTTTGCCAGAGGAAATAATTTGGCATGTACAGGACTGCACTAATTTTCAAAGCCTGAAATTTAGGGGATATATCTACATTTCCTTTTGTAAGCTTTCATAAGTTATCCCTGATTACTTTAACTGAATTGCATTCTGTGTACATTCAAGGGGAGGGTTCTTGTTTATAAATATCAAAGATAGCATGTTATTTTTGTGTTTGAAGAAGTAAGCTGCAGTCCATAAAAGTTTATATTAGAATAAAAACATGGTTAGACTTTTAGGAACTAGAAGACAGTTTTCAACTTCAAAAGTAATTGGAGCATATATGTTTTAAGTATTGAATTACAGTAAAGGCTTTATTATCAGCCTTTCAACTATCCTGACCATGTACTTTCTGGAATCATTTCTCCCCCTCAGCCACCGTACCTCATGTCTTCTGGTTCACTTGAACCCCACTCTTGTGTTTCAGCAAACCAGCTTGATGACTGCCATGCGTTGCTGAGCTTCTGACAGCCAGTCCTTCCAGCTGACCATCTATAGGTGTCTCCATCCCCCCCCCAGCCTTCCTCAAGCTGCTGGGAGCCTGCTCTTGTAGAGGGTTCCTGGACAGCTGGCCCACTTGTTGGCCTGCTGCACAGGATGACTCTGTAGCTCAGGGGGAAGGAAGTGAGGTAGGGGTGTACTTGCTGCAGATGTGGTTGAGTAGGTGTGGGGGTCAAGCAATAAGACTGAATATTCAGCTGTGGACCCCCCCCCCTTTCCTATAAGTACTGGATAACAATCATGGGAGTGAGTGAACTAAAGTGAACTGGATTAGGACATTTTCATTCAAGCAGTCATTTCGGCAGAACACACTTTCCTGGTGGCACCTTCTTTGGGTGGCCGTAACTTGGATACTGTAAATCTAATCCTCACCAAACTTGGATGGCAAGTAGAGGAGAGTCAGCCAGAGATCCCCTGCAAGTCTTATGTCTCTAGCACTCCAGGGGGTGTTTTATGTCTCTAGCCCTCCAGGGGGCTAAAAGTGCATAATGGTCCATGGTTCGCAAATGGGGCACACCATGAACCAAACTGCATTTTTTCGGTTCATGCCCATGAAACTCTTAAAATTGCTAAAGATTGATGAGAAGCAGAAGTAAAAGGTGACAGAAAGTCTTAATGCATCATTCCAGTGAAAATTATATTATTTCTATAACTGTCAATCAACCAAAAAATTTTTATACGGACGTTAAAGACTGCCGCAACTATTGGATGACTGTATTAGTTTCTCACACGAGAAAAGTGATGCTCAAAATCTTACAAAAACTGACCATATATGGAATGAGAAATGCTAGATATCCAAGCTGGGTTCAGAAAAGCAAGAGGCACTAGAGAAAATCAGCTTGTGTTTCATAGATTACAGCAAAGCTTTTGACTTTGTGGACCATGAAAAGTTCTGGTTGGTTTTAAAATAAATGGGTATGCCACACAATCTGATTGTTCTGATGCGTAACCTGTACTTCAGACAACAAGCCACCATTAGGATAGAATATGGAGAAATAGAATGGTTTCCAACTGGTAAAGGTGTCTCCCTATCTCTTCAATCTATATGCAGAACATATAATAAGGAAAGATGGATTTAGATTTAGATGAGGGTGGAGTGAAAATTGATGGAAGGAACATGAACAGGGATATGCAGATACCACATTACCAGCAGAGAATAGCAAAGACTTGAAACACTCCTGATGAAGATTAGAGCCCAGTGCTTTTTTTTTTAAAAAAAACAACTTTCTCTTAGCACAACGATCAGCAGACCTGGCAGCCATAAGTTGGACGCAGTTATGAGCCACAGAAGAAGAAATATGTCATGGATTGGTCTGAAATAACCAACCAGAGTATAAGTTGTAGTTCTTTAGCTGTAAATGATGCCCATTAATACCAAACTGTAGACAGGTAATGCTTAACATCTGGGATTTTTAATATTTGCTCTCTCTTAGGCTCCCGGTAAAGATGATGGAGTAATCAGAAGCTACTATGTGCTGCTTCTGTGTTTTTTTGCATGCTAGCCTTTGATTTGACCTATTTGCTTACACTTTATTATTTTATGTTTGTTATCGTTTTTGTGATAAGTGCACTTATAATTTTAAAACTGTTAAGCAGAGCTGTTAAGGAAAATAAACTTAATAAAATTTGAAGAAGAAAAAAAAAGATTAGAGCCCATTGCTAAAGCAGGATTACAGCTGAACATCAAGAAGACAAAACTAATGACTATTGTGGAATTACACAACTTCAAAGTTGATGATGAAGAAATCGAAATAAAGATTTTCTATTCCTTGGCTCCATTATCAACCAAAAGGGAGACTGCAACCAAGAAATCAGAAGGAGGCTGAGACTGGGAAGAGCAGCCACAAAGGTGCTAGAAAAGATTCTTAAGCTTAAGCATGTGTTGCTGGCAACCAGGGTCAAATTAATTCATGCTGTAGTATTTCCTTTTTCTATGTATGGGACTGAAAGTTGGACAATGAAGAAAGGTGACTGGAAGAAAGTGGATGCATTTGAAATGTGATGTTGGAGGAGAGTTTTATGGATACCGTGGACTGGCAAAAAATAAGTGGGTTCTAGCCCAAATCAAGCCTGAACTCTCTGCCTAGAAGCTAAAATGCCTAAACTGAGTTTATTGTACTGTGGTCATATTATAAGAAGATAAGAGTCACTGGAAAAGGCAATCATGCTAGGAAGTGTTGAAGGCAGCAGGAAAAGAGGGAAACCCAACATGAGATGGGTTGACCCTATAAAGGAAGCCCCAGCTCTCAGTTTGCAAGTCTTAAACAAGGCTGTTAACGATAGAATGTTTTGGAGTACATTAATTCATAGGGTCATCATAAGATGTCACTTCACACACACACATGCACACACACACTGGATAACAAAGCTTTTGCTATGTTTGACAAAGCTAGGCTACTGTTGCTGAGAGACTTAGAAACATGTCTGTTATCCTGCAAACAGTATTGCTTCTCACAATATAGCCAGTACACATTAGGCTACTTAAAACATCATCTGAATGGTGAACCATTTGATGCATACTGTTTCATTGTCACCCACCACTACTGACTTGCACTGGTGTGGAAGCAAATGAAGCTATGGGGTCCAGTGGTTACATATGAGATGGTTTCCCAGATGGAGCAGCAACCTGGTGCAAGTACTTTCAGGCTGTCTTACCTTGGCAACAGAATACATGGAAGTGACACTGATCCTCACACCCATGAATTAGTGGATCAAGTGCCGTGAATGTATTGCTCTATTGGTAATCATACTATTGGGGAATGATTGCTTAGATTGATGGGATTTTAATTTATTTTACTAAACCTTTTTGCTGCTTGAAAGTTGAAAGTTTTGGGGACTGGATGACTGTTGCATTCTTATTTGAGGCTTTGAGATCTTGGAGGGTAACAGTGAGCAGTTGCTCATCAGCAGTTGGGTTTCCCACAAAATGCCATCCCACTCTTGTTTGTATTGATATGACTATTAGGGTGATTGTATAGAAATCTGAAGTAAGGATCTTTATCAGGGTAGAATGGGCCAGCATCTAGGCAGAAGAATTCCTTCTCCCAATGCTTCATGTTCTGTCAGTAAGCACACATCTGTCTTTCTTATTTTCCCCAAATCTCCTTCCCTGCCCCTACTCAAAATCATTCTGAGCTAAAAAAAACCCCTGAAGTGGCTTTCCCCACGCTGCTACTGTAGAGAACCATGCTATGCTCAAAAGTGTAGTCCAAATGTACAGAGACTCTTAAGACTCCCAGGAAAAAATGTAAGCATTTGTGGTGCTTAGGGAGTCAGAGTTAAATTTTGTTTTGCTTTTCAATAGATGAAGAACTGGAAAAGAAGATACTTCCAGCTGGATGAGAATACGATAGGCTATTTCAAATCTGAACTGGTATGTATCCCTAAATAAAATATTGCTTTGTAAAAGTGTCTACTGTTAGCCAAATTGCTCTATTTCTTAATAATAGATTGGGGAATTATGATATTAATGAGCAATTGGCATAACTATAGGATCAGACCTGTGTATACCAGAGTTAGAATTCCCAAGAACCCAGGAATAGACTCAGAGACTGGGTGGCTAAAATAATGATTTCTTTCCTAATTATTCTCAAGCATACAAACAATATTCAAACATCCACACACAATACATAACTAAGAAAGCAGAGGTTATTGATAGCTTGTAGAGGGGTGATACAAACTGTCCAGATGTGCAGGGGTCCATGGAGATGAGATTATGGCCTAAACCCAAGGGTACTTAGGGGTGGACTGCCAGTTGGCATCAGAGCAGAAGCACACGGTCTGAGACCATGTGCTCACAGATATAGATTTTGGAAAACAATGCAGACCAATGGGTGGCCCTGGGGGCTGAACTCAGGTGAGAACAATAGATTACCTGGACCCAGGGGCGTGTGGCATCAGGATGGGCAAGGCCTCTATGTGACCAGTGAAGTTCCAGAGTGGCAGAGTCAGGCTTAACAAAAGCCTCGATTAAATCAGCCAGGTGCTGGATGGCTATTTGAATGAGTTTTCTGACCACTAATGGTCCTGGCCAAGGCAGTTGAATAGGTTCCCAGATACAGACAAAAGATGGGAGATGGGTCCCTGATTAGCGTCAGGAAGGATCATTAATAATTTGAATGCTTGATTGGTTTATTCCGGTATCCTGAGGGACAGAGCAAGGAAGGACAAAGAATTTACACATAGACACAGGACGACACAAAAGGGCTGGGTGAGGTTCTGGAGAGAAGAGGACTATTTGCCAGGTGGCCTCTGAATAGCTTTTAGAAATGTAGATACTTCACCTGGTGGAACCCATTGTTATTCCACAAGCATATCTCTGTTGGGTGGAGGGGGAAGACTGGAAGTTTGCCCTAAGGTTCCCTTATTGTTACCTGAATATGAAATCCCTTTTTGCAGAGTACTTGCAGCCTGACTCTGTAGTACAAGCTGAGAGTGCTTGACTTTTGGGGACTTTGGTTCAGGTTAGAAAGTGGGGTGCCCCTGCTTTGGGGCTATCGAAGAGTAAAAGGCAGTGCCTCTGGCAACACTACATTCAGATTGCAAATGTTCGCTGTCAGTTTTGATGGCTTGGATCCAGTGGTCCCTCAGCAAAAGGCACCTCCCACACGTGTTAAGTTGTGTTTATGCACAATTGTTTCACTTTAAATTCTGATGGAAAGCTTCAAAATTTTGCTAGTGACTTAAAAAAATCTTTCTCATGCTTTTACTAAAAGAACAGAAGACTAAATGGGAACAGGGTGTAGATTTAAAATTGTGGAAGTTAGACCATCCTTTCCCCACCCTTTCAGAAGTGTCCATTATGGTTCTGTCTCACTTTCTTCTGCTGATACACATATTTCCATCACTTATAGGCTTTATTTCAGATATGGCTCCCTCTTACAGGTGAGCTGGTATGTCTATAACCCATTCCAGAACAGCAGTTTCCCAGTGCCGTATCATCAATAATTTGGCACACGTTTGAAAGGTTACTTGGAGCAGCACAGCAGGGTATCCACCTCCCCCATGCTTCCATTGGACCACAGTGAAGGTTGATAACTGTCAGGCAGAGTGGTAACCAAAAATAGTTATCCAAGCATTTTTCTACATAGTCTTTCAAAATGTTCAAGCTTAGCACATGTTTCAGTAGCTGACTGTTAAAGGCCTGTGCTTCATAGCTTTTGTTCTCAAATGGATATCTCTTAGGATATCTCTTATTAAAACTAGTGTCTATTAGGTAAAACAACTTATAGGACATTTATTACTAAAGAAAAGAAGAAAGCAAACTGAGTCAAAGTAATTCAAATCACATTGCAAATGCCAGTAACACATAATTGCTTTCAAGAGAATGAAACATCACAAAACTCATTTAAATCTCCATGTCAAACTGTATCACTGCCATGCTTTTACTATGTATGTCATACTTCTTACATATAATACAGTGATTCTTGCTGATGTATTATATTCAGTGCAGTCATTAGTATACAGTAGCTCAAAGAAACTTGTTTGGTAGCATAATATGAAGAGGTTATAAAGTATGCATCCAGTGTTTGAATTTATTTGGAAGAACAGCATCAATAAATAGGCATTTTGCTTTCCTTTCAATAACCACTTGATGGCATAGGAAAAAGGCAAATGAAACACATGTTCAGATTTTTCAAATTTCAAAAAGACCTGCATATATGATTCATGCATCATGTTTATCAAACTAAAGCATGTATTGTTTGCTTTTGGAGTACATTAACTCTCTTTTTGATAGCTTGTAATTGAATGATTTTCAGAAACTTTGATAGTTGTAGCATTAAAAAATAAAGTTAATCACTGCTTGCACAGCACTTTAAACTTTGTCAAACATGAACACATATCAGCTCAGTTTTATGCTATGTACTATAGTGAATTTGATTGTGATGCATGCAAAATGTCTACGATATGAATTGTTTTCACACATTAGTGGTTAAAGTTTTGCCAGCACTACTTTTTTTTTCTTGCCTTAAGGCTAGCCCGAACTTGTCAGATCTCAGAAGCAAAGCAGGGTTGGCCCTGGTTAGTAATTTGGATGGGAGACCACCAAGGAATTCCAGGGTCACTATGCAGAGGAAGGCAATGACAAACCAATGGCAAATCGCCATAAGTCGGCTGCGCCTTGATGGCACTTTATACACACATTTCCTATCTATTACTGTAAATATGTAAATTTAATATTCATCAACTGGAACTTAGCATAGTCTTTTTTCATACTTAATGCATCTGAGACTGGAAAGGCTGTGAACTACGCTACCTATTTATATAGCATGATTGGGTGTAGTCTGAATTCTCACATCAGCTCCTTGACTTCTTGTTGTGGATAGCTAAAACTGTTTTGTTACTGTTCTCTCTTTCCTTGTTTGGTATCTGGATGGATTGATTTAAATGACCAAGATAAAGGTCTCATCGATAGAACCAAGTTTCCAAGTTTCAAATTTCTTTTCTCGAAGATATGTGTACTAATTGAGTCCTACCCAAGACCTCTGATCATGCAGCCCACATGTCTTTGCCCTACATATTTGTATTTGGTTTAACTGCTAGATTTCTGTCTGGTTTGTTTACCACATACTTATAAGAAAACTAAGCAAGTTCACTTGAAGACTTAATGTGCCCTGATCTGTGTGGAACAGAGTTGTTCTGTGTCATGGGGGAAAAAGTCTGTACTCAATATTCATAATCAATAAAATAATCACTGCAGTGCGATTTCCACACTTTATCTGAAATGCCTCTTTTTGTTATTTTACAAATAAAAGAAGGATTTTGTTCCATATTGATATTTGGTATAAGGCAATGGGTTCAGTTTTAGCTGATAGAGTTGTAGTCACTAATACCTTGGCATTACATTTGGATATTGTAAAGAGGTTATTGTAAAGAGCCAATATAACTGAAACAGTCTTTCTAAATGTCTGACTTCAATCCCCCCCCTCCCCCCGAGATTTCTTAGAGATGATGGGGACAACTGAGAGCACGAGCTATCTTGTGGTGGTCAGGCTTTCTTTTCTGCCACCGCTTTTCCAGTGTCCGGAAATAGAGGGATTGGTACTTACCAGCTGTTCCACAGAAGTGTTTTGCTAAATGCCTACAGACTGCTGACTACTAATTTGGGGTGATAATGAGTAAAGTCTGGCAGTACCTCCCAAAGTGCATCTCCAAATTTAGTATAAGTCAGTGTGGGCAAATACGTGGAAAAAAAATTACATTGAAAGATTATGAGTGAAAATATGCAGAGCACGTAAACGGCAAGAACTATTAACAGCACAAGATTACCTGGGACTACAAAAATTGATTCTTTTTTGTTTTAGTTGTATTACCAGTCAATTATTAGGGTACTGAGTTTGGAATACTTCTTTTCCCTTGGTAAACAGTGTAATAGAAGCTATCTGGGTTGTAAAAAGGTAAAGGTAAAGGTTCCCTTGCTCAAAAGCCAGTCGAGTCTGACTCTAGGGTTGCGGTGCTTATCTCCGTTTCAAAGCCGAAGAGCCAGCGCTGTCCGAAGACGTTTCCGTGGTCATGTGGCCGGCACGACTAAACACCAAGGTGCACGGAACGCTGTTACCTTCCCACCGAAGTGGTACCTATTTATCTACTTGCAATTTCTTGCTTTCGAACTGCTAGGTTGGCAGGAGCTGGAACTAGAGACGGGAGCTCACTCCGTCATGCGGCAACTCGGGTCTCGAACTGCTGAACTACTGACCTTCCACAGCCTGCAGTTCAGCGTCTTAACCACTTGAGCCACTATTGTACTATTGTACTATTCCTTAAATCCAGATATATGCATCATCAGCTTGCTCTATCTATTTATCTTTGTGAATAAGACCTGTGTAACCCTGGCTTTCTGATAAAGATGTCCTAACATAGATCCATTTAGGTGTTCAAAGTCCTGATTAACTTGCTCACTAAAAAATTAATCTAGTGAAGCCTCTGTGTTTTCAGGATAAGGAGCCTCTTCGGATTATACCGCTGAAAGAGGTTCATAAAGTCCAGGAGTGTAAACAAAGGTGAGACAAACTGAAGGTTCAAAAATCTAAAAAAGGTAATGTATACGATAGGTAGCTTGAACAGGAAAATCTGTCTCCCTGTAACACCCTCCCTCTTTCATTACACAGAAATCAAAAGTTTTGAAACAGAATGTGTCTTTAAGCAGAAGATGTCAGACACTGGATTGAATTTAGTTGCCATTATAACAAAACAATGCAGACCTCTGGGTTTTTCCCCCTTCTCTACTTTTATTCTGCCATTCCACTCAGGCAATGTGATACCAGAGCTAATTAGTGGGACATCCTGAAACAAAAGTGTCCCTTAATTGGACATGATTGGTCTTTACTTAATTTAAGAAAGAAGGTTCCAAGTCTTTTGAAAATACAACTTTGGAATTTGAATAAGGTCTGTGTGTCAGAAATATCAATAATGAAAATGGGCTTGCAAAATTAGGTAGTAATATAAAGATATTCCAGTAAGGCAGAGGTCCCCAACCTTTTTTCACCCTGTGGTATTTGGGCACAGAGTGGTAGCCACAACCACAAAATGACCGCCAAAGGAGGCAAAGCCAACCACAAAATGTCTGGGAGTGAGGTTATTTATATTTGGCTTACATTGTCTACACACAATTTTGGAATCATGGAAACTCCATTATTTATAACAGATGCATCATAAATGCTGAGCTGCAAAAGCAAGAAGTGTTGGGGTGGGTAGGGAAGAAAATTGTCAGAATCCAGTTGATTATTATAGTACCAGTGCACAAATTCAAAGATGTTAATGTGAATTGAAATTATTTCAAGATAACTTCTTTATATTTGTCACTTGAAAATGTAAAGAGGTGTACTGGATATAAAAGTGCACAGTTGGTTTCAAATAATTGTAAATTGTTAAATGCTTTTGTGTGTGTTTCAGTGATATAATGATGAGAGACAATCTGTTTGAAATTGTAACAACTTCTCGAACATTTTATGTACAGGTAACAGTCTATTTTGTTAAACTATCTTTTGGTAACAAAATGGAGTATTCTCTTCTTTTGAAAGGAGTGTGCACAATTTCCCCCCCTCTCTAATATATTACCATAATATGCAGCCTTGCAGCAGACTCAGTAATTGGAACAGGGAGCTGGAAATGTTTCTTCTTGCCCCAGCTGAACCAACCAAGTGTTTGCTTAGCCTGATTTTATAAAGTGTTTCTTGGTTGCCCTGACCGACCATCTTCTCTGGGACAGTGACGAAAGGAGGGCCTTCTTGTTTAGTGTCCTGGATGTCTCTTGGTAGCATTCAGTACCCTCACCAATGTTATCCTTTGGGGTAGAACTGGGAGATGGGACTAGGCCCTTAAAAAAAAAATTAGAAACCCTGTGAGGAAAAACATGCATTCTGGTTTTTTTAGAACTTTTCCCTCAAGGGACAAATTGGGAGGAGTTCTGGAAAGGAATTCTCATTAAATATAAGTAAAATGCTTTTGAAAACAAGGTTTTTGTCATTTAAAACGTGTAGCATGATAAAACTTCTCAGGAAATAAAGTGTCATCCAGTTGTTGAAGGGTTCTACTTATTGTGGAAGAGCAGGTTTGTAGTTTGGATCTGCGGGTAGATCTTGATCTGTGGTTGGAAGCTACATATTCTGCTATGACATGTAGCACCTTCTATTGACATATTGATATATCAACTAGCCATTCCTAGGAAATTCAGTGTCTGATCCATGCTTCCGATCGCATCCCAGTTAGGTTACTTTATTACATGTACACGGGGCTGCCTCTGAAGATTATTCAGAAGCTCCAGTCAGTACAAAATACAGCCAGCTGTGTTGCTGTCAAGGTTGGGTAGCGAGATCATATCACTTGTGCATTGAAAGGTCTGCACTGGCGGGCTTGTCTTTTTCGAGTTACAATTTGAAGTTCTGATATTTACCTTTAAAGGTCTAAACAGCTTGGGGCTGGGTTCCTGAAGAATTTGCTCCTCTTTATTCTGTTTGGCAGTCAAGTTCTTCATCTGAAGCCCTGCTTTTATGGGTCTCTATCCACAGAAGTGAAGAAAGTGGTAACGAGAGATTTTTTTGTTTGGTTGGTTTTGGTAGTGGCACCTCATTGGTATAATATTCTTTACCTTCTGGCTTCCTTGGTACCTACTCTTTTAAGCTTTTAGGTGCCATACTAAAACTTTTTTGTTAACCAGGCTTTTAATTGAGCTCTTCCTGCCTTTTAGTTGGCCATCTTAATACAGTACAAGCCACAAAAGCTATAATAAAATGCCACCCTTGAATTGCCTGAGTGGTGATCTGGGCTGTGCTTTGTGTCATTGTGCTCTTTCTCAATTGACTTTATTCTCTTGCTGCTGAGTTGGACTACTTTACTATTGGATTGCTTTTGTTTATTATTTTAACATATATTCAACTTTGTGCATTTTCATTTTGTTGCATTATTGACATCCAGTAGAAAGCTGAAGGAAATCATATTTTGCAATAAATGTCAGGTCATTACTTCAGGATTGGCGGCCATTTTGTAAGAAGATTTCTTACTAAAAATAGTAGCAAACCTGTGGGTCTTGTTACAGCTCATTTACTAGAAATGGTCTGCAAAAGCAGCCATGGTTGCCCATTAAAACACTTTGTTTTTTGCTTGTGGTACTATCTGCCCTAGTTTGTCTTAATAATTCTAAAAGCTATGTTCATTTCAGTTCTTGGGAAACAGACCAGTTGCAGATAACCAGTTTAATTAATAAGCCTTTGTTTTACTTTTGTATCTTGATATTCAAATAAGATTTATTTTCTGTCTCTTTATTCAGGCAGATAGTCCAGAGGACATGCACAGCTGGATTAAAGCAATTTCTGGTGCAATCGTAGCACAGCGGGGACCTGGAAGATCAGCAGCTTCTGTATGTTTTAATAGAAATTATACATTGTTTTGAATCACAGTGTCCAGTCTTATACACTAGATCTGTTCCATTTATTTGCCTTTCTGCCCTGTTCTGGAGTAACATCATGTCTCTGCATGCATCTCAGGTTGCATAAAGTCTTGCATTCTTAAGTGCTAATCTTAGCTTTATATGTATGTGTTGTGTGCAATGTTTTGTCTTAACACTGAGACAGTGCAGCTGGTGGGTTTGAAAATGATTTCCTAGTTCAGTACTGTTTGGTTTTGAAAGCTGCAGTGAAAATTACCACATTACTTGACAATGTTTACTAAACCTTGTAGGTACCCAGTGTATTGATTTAAAGCACTTGGTTTATGAACCTTCTGAAAGGTATTTTGTCTCTCTGTATGCTCAGGCAGGAAGCAGCCCAAATTTAATGAAAGTTTTAGCGGGTTGTTCAGATGATGTATCTTAAGAGAATTGTACAATATCATTGTTTATGACCTGCTTGGATCACAATGCTAATATTACCAAATTGAGTCTTTACTACCTTGAGAAATCCATTAACTTTGTAGACAGAAGTGTCTATCTTTCAGCAAAAATCAAGTTTAGAACTCCATGTTCTGATATTTCATACTTTTTAAATGTATTAAAATTTATTTAGACCCAGCCTTGGGCCTATTCCATTGTGCCCCAAGATTATTCTAAATTAAAACCACCCATAATACAATAATGCCCCTTACAGTGTCCCCTAAAAATGTTGAAGGATGGTGCCCTCCTCAGGGATCCTGTTCTAGCATGGGGAGCCATTGTTGAAAAGGAAGAATGGGTTCTGGTTGGGCCAATTCTGCCTTCTTAAATGGGGAAACCAACGGAAGGTTATAGCTTCAGGACTGTAAGCGGCACATGAGGACATATAGGGAGAGACAGTCCTTCAGATAATGTTTTAATATTTCCTATTCTTGTTATATTTTATTTCAGCTTGGTATATTTGAAGTTAACTTCCTTCTATTAAGTGCTCATTGACAATGTTTTAAAATTTCTTCTGTCTGCTCCAAATTGAATACTTTTTGTAAATAGTAGTATACCAATCTCTTTTAAGTTTCCATCACACAGTAGAGACTGTTTGGGAGTCAATATGTTCTAAGTGAGAGAAAAGCTGCCAAGACAGGATTTTCTTCTGTGTTATGTGTATAGTCCTTGTGGTGGGTAATTCAAGCAGTGACTGCTAGCAATTTCTTTTTCTCTCTTCATTTCTCTTTCTCTCCCTCCTCTCCTCAAGTTTAGGTTACTCTAATCTTAGCTTTGCACTGTGTTCCAGATGCGGCAGGCCAGAAGGCTGTCGAATCCTTGTATACAGAGGTATACATCAAGAACTGGTGAATGCAGCATGTATGTGGGCTCTCATGTAAACTTGCCTTCCTAACAGAGGGCTGAAATTCAAAAACACTAACATGATGAGGTCATCCCCATGGTTTCTTGCACTGATTATAATCAAGATGAAATTACTAACTCCTAAAACCATTCACATTGGCAAATTAAGTTTACTATTTCTACATAATGTGCTAAATCCACTATTAGGAATGGCAAATAATTCACACACTGCTGAAATCTCCACTGACATTTCAGTGTACTTGCTGTACTGAGTTACATCAGCACAAGTCATTCATACTAAACATGGCTTAATTTGCATGAGAGTTCATATTTCCATCTTTTTTTGAAAGAAAGCTAAGTAGAAGCCACTCCAAAGCTAATAGCTAGATGTGTGCTCACAAGAATGCACGCAGTAAAGAAAACCTCCTAGATTGATTTGCATGGCTTTTACAAGTAGATATGCATGGGATCATTAGTTAAAATGTAGGCACTGTTTTAGTTTGCAATCTATATGTTAATCAAAGTAGTACAGTAAAACTATATGAAGTCAGATGGTAAGGCAAAGCAAAAAGTTATCACATAGGTGTGGATTACAATGTTGAAACTGATATCCCAGCACTGGTTTCAGAATCAAAACACTCGTATGTAATATTCAATTTAGAAAAGAAGCTTAATTGTGGATTCAGCATTTAGGCTTTGAACTCATTCTTATGAGCATTTTGTGTTAGTCATTTGTTTTCTTATGACTTCAAGATGAAAGTGTGATCAGTTCATTTTCAGAACATTCACAGTTTATTGTATTAATCTAAATATACCTAATTATCTGTAGAGACCCTTCTCACATTCCTGGCAAAGCTGCTTTCCAACTGAATAGTTTAGCATCAAACATTATCCACCATCCTCAAATCAGACACTAAATACCTGTATAGTGATAGGTACTTAGTTGCTTCCACACAACCAATAATAATGTTACTTTCTCAGAAGGTGTTTGTTAAGAGAACTTTGCAGTGATCATCAGCTGAACCAGTCTGTACTTACTGATTCCTATATGAACAATGGTACCTAGAAGGATACTAAGGGAATGCGTCTTCTCCCATTAATACCTTTCCCCATTTGTTTGTTTTGTTGAGATGGTATTCCGGAATCTCTGCCTTTGTACTGCAAATAATAAGGCAACATTTCAGAAGTAGCAAGCTAGGAAAAGGAGAAGAGTGGGATCTTGAGATTTTCCTACTTTTGTCAGAAGAAAACTTGCTGTGCCACAACATCGTGCAATTGTAGTGTAGGATGTCATGATACAGGCTTGGCTACAGCCATTAGTTGTCTTCTGTTTATCTTGCTACCTAATCCTCAGCTGTCCTTGTGCACTAGAGAAGACCCCTTCATACTCATGAGTAGCTAGGTTCCTCTTTTAGCTATTGGCTTATAACAGTAGTTCTTATCCTGTGAGTATCCAAGCAGTTTTATAATTTGCTCACAACACTTGCTTAAATTGACTTACCACAGAAACGCTGCTGTTCTGTTCTTTGGCGAATCTCCACACAGAATACAACTGAATAATATGGTACACAATAAATAGTTTAGTAGGTTAAGCATTTTTTTGTAGAAGAAACTTTGATCTCTTTTAGGGTGACTAATAGTGACAATGCCTAAGCATATATTAACCCAAGGCAAGAAAACAATATGTTCAGTATGCCTTGAAAAATGTTATAAAATTATCTGTGTGTATTTTTTTCTCATTAATATTTCATGGTGTTCTGTGGTTCAGTAGCACAGAAGGAAAATTATAAACTGGAACACAGTCAACAGAAATTTAAAGTACAGAAACTCAGTTTTCTTCAGCTAGGGTTGCCAAGTCTCCCCTTGTTCCGGAGCGGGGGACTCCCTGTTTGATCCTGGAGCGCACGCCCCCCGCATCCATGTCACCAGGAAGTGACGTGACGACGCTGGGGGCGGGGCCACGACCATCCAAGGGAAAACCATAGAGTTTTCCCTCGGATGACTGTGGCTCCGCCCCCAGCGTGCCCGGCATGGTCGCGTCACTTCCTGGTGACGTGCATGTCGGGGTGGAGTTCCCCCTGGGGCCTGATCTGGCGTCGGCGGGGAATGGGCCTCTTGGGCGGGGGTTTCCCCGCCCCCCGGGTGGACTTGGCAAGCCTATCTTCAGCTAAGCAGTGATTCTATTATGCTTCTTTTTTGAATATGAATACACTTTTGCGTGCATTTTTGGAACTATTTGGGACTATTTTGAGACTACAATAAGCATTTTTTCTGTCATTTTCAAATTCTCAAAGAGTATGTCTTTGATAACTGTTTTAACTGCAATTTTAATCAATAAAATTACTGATACTAAAAGAGCTGGTTTGTGTTGATAAACATCAGTAGTTTCCATGCTAGACTGTAGAGACCTGGCTAAGCTGTTTTTCTGCTTGCTCACGGTCTTAACACTGCTGTGCCTTGGAGAAGCATCTGCTTTCTACAGATGATGCTTTGCTTTGTTTTCCCCCCTGATTTTCTTGAGTTATCAGAGATAAGTCTGAGATGTCATTATTAACCTGCACCTGGTTATCTGTCGAGTCTGACACACTCTCCTCCTTTTCACAGGAGCATTCCAACAATTCTTCAGAATCCAGCTGGCCTGCAAAAACAGCAGCTGCCTGCTCACATTCCACAGCCACTCACAACCCCACTTTGGTCTCAACCCTTAACGCCGAACCCCCTGTCTTGGAGAAGCGAAGATTTCACGAATCTTCTACCAAGGCCAAGCCAGGGAGCTTCAAGATCCAGGCTGTCCCTTCAAGAGACCCAGCTTCCAAAGTGACTGTACACGGCCTATGGGAACCTCAAAATAAAAATGGCACTCAGGAACAGGATCCAGGCCCAGTGGATCTAGATGATGCAAGCCTTCCAGTCAGTTATGTGTAATAATAGGAAGAGTTCGGAGAATGATCCATTTGTTTTGGTCCGTGAATTTCCTTGCTCAGACTTCTAGCCAAAGATGACTATGGGATGAAAGAACAAAGATGGGAATGTTGTTTATGTAGTTCTGTATGTTTGCATACGTTCAAATTTGTGTATGTTTAAATAGTCATATACTGCCTTGTACTTATTATCACAGCGGGCCTTTTGATTTTTCCGCTGCCTGATAATAAATCACTTTCTAATAGGGAGGGGCCAAAATACATAAAAAATATTACTGTTGCCAATCAGCAAGGTACCAGCTGCTCTTCATCTTCAATTTGGCAAAGCTAAGATTAGAATCTTAGTGCCCTAATAAAAGAAATGTCAACAAGGTGTGACTTAATTACACTGTAAGTCAGGCTAATGACAAGGGAGTTGATTTTTTTAGGTTCTAAATACTGGCAAAGCCTTTTAGGCATTTGGATATATGTCATCATAGGATTGATGTAGTACCTTGCTGAACCAAAGGAGTGCTTCTAACCATGGATTTTTCCCTATGCAGAAACGGTATTCATTTAAAAAACACTGCAGTGTCTGAAATGAGATATGTTTTCCCTCTGTAAGTTGCACAGATCAAGTAGCCACTATGCAATTTGTATGGCAGGAAAACCACTTTTGCTCCATTTCAGAAATTGCACCAGTGCATTTGTGTTAACTTACACAAATCTTCGTGTTTGAAAAATCGTGTGCGTGAAGCAGGGCAGAGGTACAGATAATTTACATTGATGGAGACCTGTTGACTTAGTTGTAATCCCTCTTCTGTAACTTTTCTGTGAATCACTGCCCTTTCCCCAGAGAATTCAACTCCCTTAGAATTCCAGGTATTTGGTGCTGTGAAAACATTACGGTAATACAGCTATTTTGAATATTAAGCCTATTTTTGATGCACTCCTAAAGGTGAATTGTAACTTTTGCACATTTGGATATTAATGGACCACCAGTAAATAAAGGTGTGTTGTGGATTTTTTTAAGTAGGGAGAAGGGAAACTGGACTACTAAATCTTTTAAAGGTTTAACTAAAAGTATTTTATATTAGGCTTTACAGAATTTAAATGTTTAAACTATTGTCTAAGATTTTTTTGTTTTTGTTTCTTTCCCTCTTGTGAGATTGATCCATCCCCCCCCCCCCCATGAGTATGTTGTGAACAGTTCCCATTTAATAGATGGATCGGTCAGAGACTGGAAAAAAAATTGTTTTATGCTGTTATCTGGTACTGAATTGTTCAATCATGCAATTGTGGCCTGTAACTTTTGGTGCACTAAATTTATTAAAAGTGCCTGTGGGTTCTTCCTTTATGATGTTCTTGGGGACTAATGGATGTTGGATCTTGCTTTTATGGTTTTGAACCGTGAGGTGAAATCATTTTGAGCACTATAGTCCAGCACAACTTTGGTATTCTAGGGATGCCAGTGGACTGGTAGCTACTAGTTGTGCACTATAATTTTTAACTGGTTAGTTGTTCAGGGGATTCAGTGATAAAAATAAAAAGGTTGAAGAAACCAGTATCAGATATTTGTGGAGAATGGGCATGCACTATTTTGTGGTTAAGTTGTGAAAATATTTGCTTTAATTAAAAAAAAAAAGCCCCAAAGTTTTACATGCTGCTGCTTAATGTGATTTCACATTTTCTAGTTCTGCAAAACTTGTGTGTAACGCTTCAGAAAACATGGAAAGCTAAGAATGCACAGATACTCAGGACAAAATGTATGCCCAGTTCATTGAGATTGAGGAGAACTGAACTGTATCTGAGTGGTAGTGATAAGCAGCCTTTGTAGATCAGTGAACAAATGGTGCAAGATCCTGTTAGCCTGTAGCCCTGGGGCCTGCTGACTACGCTGCTGCCCTGGTAGGGTTGAGTGGCAACCAGCAGGAGTCTGGGGCAGACATGAAAGGGTAATGGTGTTTTGTCACTTTTTCGGGGGGGGGAAACAGAAGTAATGCCATGCCTGTGGTAAAATGGGAGCGTTTATGGTGAATTCCAGAGTGGACTGATGTCACTTCAGGGAAAACCTGAAGGTGATATTCTCAGATTATTTTTCTCCCACCAGTGGTTGGGGTAAAATGAAAGCTGGGAGTGGGGAGGACCCCCATTGGCAAACTGTCAGCCCTATGCTCTGGTGAGATGAGGCAAGAGAGAGTGTTCTTTACACTTCTCTCCAGTCCATCGTAGTATAACACAGTTTACTTTTCTATTGTCTTTTAGTTGCTCCAACAATAAAACCTCATTGGAAGAAGGCAATGGCTCAAGGCCTGGTGAAATATACTTCCCTTGTGATCCATGTCATTTCAGAGGTTCAGGGAAACTTCCTTTCGATACTCTAATGACCAGCTTATCTAGATTCTGAGTGCCATGCATATGTAATGGAAGATAAAAGTGGAAAAGTAATGCACAGTGGATCAAGTTCCCCAAGGCTACTGCAATAATGTGCTGTGTACGGTTTGAAACTTCTGCTACTGCCTTAGACCTCCATGCCACATGGTCACTTTTAATGGCTAAATATTGAGGGGGAAGATAATTTAGTTTCCAAATCTATGCTACCAAGATATATTTGCCCTACAATCACTTACTGCAAGGCTGTATATATCTCTATATATCTTGTAATCTGCTGCTGGTCTTCGCATTGGGGAGGGAGTTCATCCTGCACCCTGCACCCTGGTTTGCGAACCTTGTCCTCCATTTTCTAGTTTTACATGCAGGAGGTTTTATCAAGAGGTACAAACATTTTTTGTGATTATGCGACTAAAGCCAAATTTACATGTGCCACATTTAAGTACTTTTTAAAGCTGTTGGTATGCAGCTATTAAAAACAGGCAATAAGTTTTCCATGCAGAATGCATTGATTTTCTGAATTGATTGGTGGCCATGCAGGCAGGTTGGTTTACAATTGCTTTTCCATCTTTCTACATTTTATAACACACATTATTTCAGTATAGTTCTTGCATTGAGCCACTTCCTGATCCCATTGTCTCTCTTTACCTCTAGGTGAGGTTGCACCATTGCACTTCTACACTTAGACAGGGCTTTTTTTGGTAGAAAAAGCCCTGCAGGAACTCATTAGCATATCAGGCCACACCCCTGACAGCACATCTCATTAGCATATTAGGCCACACCCATGCCTTCCCTTGGTTTGCCTGAGCGTCCTGCGGCAAGCTGGCCAGGGGAGGCACAGGGAGGCATTTAAATGCCTCCCCAATCCTTCCAGGGTCCCCCCAGCCCGCCCGCCTCGGAGTCGCCAGGTGGGGTTCACTCTCCAGGCCTTCCCTCTGTAGCCATGCACACAGAGGGTTTGGCTGTAGTGGGTGTGGCCAACTCTGAAGCCAGCCAGAACTCCGTTCCTGTGCGTTCCTGCCCAAAAATAGCCCTGCACTTAGACATGTTAATGATTTTGCTTGCTAGTGAAAGCTAAAGATCTGTACCCTAGAATTTGATCCTGGAAATCCTCTTTTCATGGTACATGAGTGCAGTTGTGCAAGTTCAGCATATTGCTTATATTTATTGAAAGACACTTGGATGTAATAAATCTAACATGTTAATAAAATAAACCCTCTTAGACTTGCAGTTCTTAAAGGAGCAAGTATGCTGAAATGTGATGATTGTGTTTCTGAGGCTAAAAACTGAAAGGAGAGAGGATTCTTATACACAAAGTCGAAGGGTAGAGGAGTAGCAATGCCAAAACGTTTCAAATTGATCAGTTGTAAGCACCTTTTCATTTCTTAACCATAAGCTAAAAATTTTACAAGCAGTGTTTGTAATTTGCATTTATTTTAATTCTCGGTTACATGTGAAAATAAATAGCTTGAATGTTTTAAGGCTAGTTTAATTGCATACTTTTAATATATCAAAATTAGCCAATAGGTATTTGGAACCTTATTTTTCACCAATATGTACTTGCAGGGCTCTTTTTGTAGAAAAAGCCCAGCAGGAACTCATTAGCATAATAGGCCACACCCAATGGCAGAAACTCATTAGCATATTAGGCCACATCCCTGACAGCACAGCTCATTAGCACATTAGGCCGCACCCCCATGTTACCAGAGGTGTGGTTATCCAGCCACACCCACCTTTTGCTTGTTATTCTGTTTACCTTGTTTGTTGTCAAAACCCTGGGCTTTTTTTGTAGCAGGAACTCCTTTCCATGTTAGGCCACACACCCCTAATGTAGCCAATCCTAATGAGTTTCTGCTGTTGGGTGTGGCCTATTATGCTAATGAGTTCCTGCTGGGCGTGGCCAACTTGGGAGCCAGCCGGAACTCCGTTCCTGTGCGTTCCTGTCCAAAAATAGCCCTGTACAGTACTTGTGCAAGAAGCTGAATTGGAATGTTTATACTAACATACTTTGAATAGTTTTAAATTTTCTGATTCTGGTACAGTTTTCACATTGCATGCGCATTTTATTTTGTTCTGATATTGCCAGTTTTATACATTGAATTAGAAACAAAGCAGCACCCTTGCAAAATTCTTTTAAAATCAAAGTTTGATAGCTTAGTAGTGCAGGAAAATATTTGTGGTTAATAAATTGTCAGGATTTCTTTATTTATCAGTATTTTTTATAAAATCAATGAAAATTGTTAAATTATTTTAGGACCTGTGCTGTTTTCTGTAAATATGTCACTTAAATTGTTAATAATTTCATTAACTAAACATAGCAGTCCTATCAGACTACTACATTTAGTGCACTTCAAAGATAAATATTAACAATGGATAAAATTGTTTGCATATTGTCTCATTTCTCCCTGTCTAAATTGCAGAACACTAAAAAAAACTGGATTTAAAAAAATAAACAGCTGTCATGTCTGCTTTCTCCATTATAATCCTTTGGTAACATCAGTCTTCTAAACAGATCTCTGCATCAGATATAAATATGTGGAAGAAGTTGTTGAAGAAAACACATCTGGAATGGTCAGGTGCAAATACAGTGGGTGTTCTGTTAAAATGCAGTAATCATATATACATGCCTTTTGGTTGTATTTGGTTGCTTCAGAATTAAGGTATACAGTCTGGTAATAAGCCAGTCCTGAAGTATTTGCATTGTAAAGTAATTAAAGGTTCTGAAAACTGTCTATAGTTCCCTAATGCTAATGGTTACAGTATGCTGACTGCCCTCCCCCCAGATATATTTGAGGGCTGGTGTATTCTGCATTTAATTCTGAAAAGTGTCCTTGATTAGGGACACATTTTTGTTTGTTCTGCTTCTACATCAGTTGTTAAGAGATACTGATTTCACTAAAGTTTGAACAGATAACACGAGAAACGTTATCTTGAACAAGCTTCAAATATGAGGGCTCTAGCCAGCCATTTTAAGTAGCCTCTGGACTAATTCCTGGCACATCCATTTGGTGTTAAGGAAGAAGGGAAGTTCAGAGCCAGCTGAAGACCTGAGCTTACCATGTGCCCCCTCCACTTCCTGCAGATTTTTGAAGCCTTGGGTTTGTAAGGGACCTTGGGCAAAGAGCTGGAGGGCCCTCGACCTCACAGCCTTTGCCTCTGTGTAAGCCATAGTGGCACAAGCTGCATCATCCAAGGATTTCTGTATGACTCATCATCAGCTTTGCGATTAAATGGGGGTCTGATGGCTTGCATGTTTTTGTTTACATCCCATTTGGATAAACATGAAGCAGAGTTCCATCTGTGGCTATTAGCCACAAGGTATAGATGGAACAGGAGCTGCAGTGGCTCAAGTGGTTAAGACGCTGAACTGCAGGCTGTGGAAGGTCAGTAGTTCAGCAGTTTGAGACCCGGGTGCCGCATGATGGAGTGAGCTCCCATCTCTAGTTCCAGCTCCTGCCAACCTAACAGTTCGAAAGCAAGAAATTGCAAGTAGATAAATAGGTACCACTTCAGTGGGAAGGTAACAGTGTTCCGTGCGCCTTGGTGTTTAGTCTTGCCTGCCACATGACCACGGAAACGTCTTCGGACAGCGCTGGCTCTTCGGCTTTGAAACGGAGATGAGCACCGCAACCCTAGAGTCGGATTCGACTGGCTTTCGAGCAAGGGAACCTTTACCTTTACCTTTTATAGATGGAACACTACGTCTGGGGTAGTGATGCTCTGTATTCTTGGTGCTTGGGGGGCAACAGTGGGAGGGCTTCTGGAGTTCTGGCCCCACTGGTGGACCTGATGGCACCTGGGCTTTGGCCACTGTGTGGCACAGAATGTTGGACCGGATGGGCTATTGGCTTGATCCAACATGGCTTCTCTTATGTTCTCATTTTATGAGTATTTCATTTATAAGTTGCTTTGAGACCCTGCTTTTATGATAAAAGTGGAATGAAAATATTTAAATAAATAAAAAACACATGACAAGATAGGTGAGAGTATCTGCCTGCCAGTAGAGCTACTTGTCACTAAGTATTCCAGCCTACCAAATAGGGTAGTTGAATTCCTCCACTCTTCAAACACAGGGATTGCACACATTATTCCTGAAAAAATGCATGACTTGCCACGCAATTGTTGTTGAGGACAGGATATGCTGACTGCTCAGCCAGGCAGCATCTCAAATATGACCTTAGGTTGGCCCAAATGTTTCTGAATGTTAAAGATAATTAAAGCAGGTCACACTCATGATCTGTTGTTTTGTTCTGGGCAGGATGAAGGTGATCTAAAGGTGGAGGAATTGGTGATAGTTCCTTTGTGATGGACGGATCATTTCCTGCTTGGGTCTAGACTTACGGAGACAGCAAGACTGCAGTGGTGGTGTATGTGTGTGTGGGGGTGTATTAAGATGATCTGACTGCAAAGCCAGATGGACCCAAGTGGTTTTCTGATGACTTATGGGGATTTTGCTTTTGATATGCTTGGTGCTTCTGTTGATGCCCTGGCTGACTTCTGAAATAAGGAAATGATCTGGGCGATTGCCATGATTGCTCGTAGGAGCCTCCCTCAGGTGTTACAGCCCAGGCAGCCCCCTGGTTTACTGAGGGGGGGGGGCTGTGTGCGATGAAAAGACGACTCAGGATGAACCTGACAAGTCATGGGCTTAAAGCTCGTTTTAAACTTCATGGCGCTGATGGCAGCAAAGAAACAATACTTTCCCACCATGATTGCATCTGTAGGTAGGTTAGCAGAACTTTCTGTTCTAGGTGATTAGAGGCCTAATGGAATCCTGCCTGCAGAGGAAGGTGGACTGCTTGGTGGCATGCTGTGACCACTTTGCTCAACACTGAGCAGATAAAATCCCTCACATTCATAATAAATACTACATTAGCAGACACTAGGAATGCCATTTGCCTGCAGGACACACTAGAATTCACCCCAAACTCGATGGTTTTCATCATAGAATTTAAGATGAATTCTAGGGTGTCACCTAATGCAGCCAGAAATGGCATTGTTGTGTTGTAGGGATGCCGTTAGGCTAAGTCTCTCGGGGGTTGCCACTGCCAGCAGTGACAGGATCAGATGGGGCCAGGCTTCATTGTTCAGTTTGTTAGGGTACTTTTCAGTTTATTCAGTCTGAGGATGTGGCCAGGATCCTTGGTTTGTGGCCTACCACCTGCATATATGATCCTTGCCCTTCCTGGCTGCTTAAATCTGTCAGGAAGGAGGATGGCTGACTGGGTCTAAGAGGCAGTTTGGTGTAGTGGTTAGGAGCACAGACTCTAATCTGGGAGAACCAGGTTTGATTCCCCACTCCTCCACATGCAGCTGCTGGTGTGACCTTGGGTCTGTCACAAATTCCCTCAGAGCTGTTCTCGAGCAGTCCTCGAAAGAGCTCTCTCAGCCCCACTTACCTCACATGGAGTCTGTTGTGGGAAGAGGAAAGGATATTTTAAGCTGCTCTGAGAGTCCGAGTGAAAGGCAGGGTATAAATTCAATTTCTTCTTCTTTAGTCACTGCCTCAGCCTTGAAGCAGACTGTGGCGATGTGTCTACTGTTAAAGAAACCTACCCTAGATCCAGTAAAAAGGTAAAGGTAAAGGTTCCCTTGCTCGAAAGCCAGTCGAATCCGACTCTAGGGTTGCGGTGCTCATCTCCGTTTCAAAGCCGAAGAGCCAGCACTGTCCGAAGAAGTTTCCGTGGTCATGTGGCCGGCATGACTAAACACCAAGGCGCACGGAATGCTGTTACCTTCCCACCGAACTG